CAAACAGTACTTGTAAATGCTTTTTTTTTTTTAATTTAGCCTGTAGAGATTTCTGAAAGCCAGGCTTTTGTGTGTATATGTGTGCCCACCCACGTGTGTACACACTTGTACGCATATACACAGCTACGTGCATTCACTTGAATCTCTGGAAGGGGTGTCTCTTAAATCAAGTTCTGTTAGTTATTCAATGAATATTTATTGCATGCACACTCTTTGTCAGGCACTCTTCTGTGGTGTGGGAACATGCCAGAGAATGAAATAAAGACCTTGCCCTCATGCAAGTACACTGCCTCAGCCAAAGATCTGCCCAAGGAAACTTCAACTACCAAATTTACATTTCTCCAGAGAAATTACTGTGAAGAAAAGAAAGATGCAACTGACTCTTGATCCCCTTAGAGAGTCCTCTGAGACACCATTTACAAATCAGTCTATTATTTTTTCACAGCTGTCTTACAAAATACTTGACAATCTAACGAAAGTTTACATGATCACAAGTATATTGCCACCATTCACGAAGCATACTTCAGTCTTTACTGAGGGAATGGCATTCTCTATCTCACTTTTAAACATGTTTGAAAACTAAAGGACCTTACCAAAAATGGTCACATCTATTTATATGTTACCCCAACCTTAATCCTATGTCTTCTTTATCTGTACCAACATGAATTTAGATTAGCAGCTTCCCCCAAACAGGGACTATACCTGTTTTGTTTTTTTTTTCTTACTTTGCAAACTGCATTACCTAACCTCAAATCAGAGATGCTCGGTTTAAATGTGCATTTACTGAATGCCTGCTCTGCATGACATAAGCAATATGATTTCTTCTACACAGTAGCCAGTTCCACGTGGTTATTGCTGCTATTTTACAGATGAGCAAACAGGCTGAGAAAGGTTAAATAACACAGGTAACACAAATGACCCACTGGAAAGCTTAGTATCTGAATTCACTTATGAGGCTCAAAGCCAAGTTTTACCTATTTTCTTGGTCATTTCCAAGAAGCATACAAAAAGTAAAATTTATGAAATTGTGAGAACTTCCAGTAACGATTTCCCTCTCTTAAACTCAGAAAAAACAATCAACATTAGGAGGCTTTTCCAAAATTAACGCAGATTTCAAATTCTTTTCCTAGCTGAAAAGAAATAGCATAAAAATCCAATGGGCAACACCTCAGCCTGTCGCTGTACTATTATCATACCGAGATATGATACAAAGAAGAACAATAATTACAACAGTAGGTTTCCCTTTCCTTGAAAGGGAGAAGAGATCCCTGGAAGTCTACTGACAAAACAAACAGAAGAGAGGTCGGCTGCTGCGGAGAATAAAATTAAGAACAATGAGCGTGTTGTCTTCCTCAGAAAACCACCAGCAAGTTGATGTTGGAAGATTTGCACACGTAAACGATAAGGCATATAAATCTATGTTAACTCTCCTTGGTCTCATACACTCAATGGGGAGTTTCAACTATAACAAAGTGAAGATGTTGTTTAACTAGCATAGAGTTCACTCCGACTTGGAGGACTGTGAATCAAAATTGTGAACTTTGGGGCCTTAATATTAGTACTGGAATTTTATACTAATTTAAATTATATAATTATCTGAACATTCGCCTTTATTTTGCACATTTCGGGTCTAGACTATGTAACATGTAGCTAGAATTATGTATTTAAAATTTAAGAGCTATTCTGCGTACTTTTAGACCAAAAGTAGACACAAAACACAGTAACAGCATTATGCCCATCCTCTAAAATCTCATTAAAGGATTATTTTTGCTGGGATTTACTTTTCCATACTTTCAGGAACAAAGTCCTGATTTACAGTTTCAGGCTTGAAGCAGCATTTCATGTCTAAATAATATATTGCAGCTAATCTATCCTGACAACCCCAAAAGAAAAGCCTGGCAACTACTATAATGTCATTTGCACAGTCTCTAGCTCTCAGTGTAGCCTCTAGAATCCTTAAAGTGCTCGGCCTTCCTGTATTCATTCTCAGGAAGTTAATCCAAATTAATCCGAAAATAACCATAACAAACAGCCATCCTTAGAGGGCCTATTACACCAAGGACTTTGCATGACATTATTTCTAATTCACAAAACAGTCCAACAAAGTATGTATTACCATTCTCATCACACAGATGAAAAAATTGAGGGCAGAGAAATGAAAGGTATTGCCCAAAGGTCATGGCTATTAAATCAGAGGAGGAAGTCATTTGAAAAGGTAACTTCAAAACTTGTAAATCCCGCAGCTTTCTGGGCCTGTGGTCCTCACAGAAGCCTAGTATGCAACTACCTACTCACCACCGACTCACAAATGCTTGCCCTTCTATGGTTCAGCTTACAACTCACTGGACAATTGCTTTCAAATTATTCACCAACTTCAGCCCTGCAGTAAGCTGAAGAGGTAAGTTTCCAGGTCTACAGCTTGCTCAAAACGTAGGTCCAACTCTGACTGTCAAACCAAAGGAGTTAAACCCAAGCTGGGCCATGAGTCCCTAGCTATAGTGTTGCTGATGTGATTCACCAGCATAAAAAACGATGACATCCTTAGATGCCCCATTATCTCCAGATCTGAACACATTTAAGAGCAGATGGGTGGAAGGACACATTCCGCCCACAATGTTAAACAGGTTCTAAGTTTGTATCTGTGTATTAAACTGGAGGGTAACGGAAAGGTGACCCTGTGAAGAAGGTGAGGATTGCACTCTGAGGTCTGATTAGAATAGCAGTGGAGAAATCTTGATGTCCAAATCAGAAAAAAGAAAGAAAACCTCTCCTGATTGGCATTGCCAAGGTGATTCCAAGTCTGGGCTTCTCACTGCAGCCCAGAGCTGAACTGTGCAGTAACAAGCCTCAAAGTTCTTTTTTTCTTTTTTTTTTTTTCCTTCCTTTCTTGTCAGTTGCGGTAAGTTGCAGTTGAGCAGGAGCTTAATATAACTTGAGTCCACCTATTACCACAGGTGGTAACTTAACCGCGGTCATGCAAAAGAAAACACACAAACAAAAACTGCAGAGCATTATGGTAACACATGCAAAAGCCTACAGTGAGCTCAGGGGAAAAAAATAAATAAAATCCTGCACGATTCTTTTTGTAGGTTGGTAAATTTATTGCCTGATCTCTGTCCCAACAGGAAACATGTGCCCAGAAAAATAAATTAGAGAAGTGCTCAGCTGTAGGCTAGTTTAGTTAAGGAGTAATGAAAAGGATGAGAATAGATGATGTGAGTGAAAGAACAGACTCAGATGCTTTTAGCTTGGTGTTTCTGGTTTCTATTATCACTTCACTAATATAAATCCAACTCCATGGTTCCTTAATGACTCTCTGGGGACCACTACTCACAGGATAAATGTGCTCAACACTAGGAAATGATCCAGGAGTCTATTGCCTTCCGTCTCCTTTGGGATGACATATACACATACATACATACATATATATATATATACATACATATATATACACATATGTGTATATATATATATATATGCCAGAATTGTGAATGGGTTTTATTACTTTTTATAATACTATTAAATTCAGGGTTATCTAAACTCTGCTATTAAAAATAAAAAATAAGAAAGAAGAAGAAAAAGGAATTAAAAAAAAAAAAAGAACTATGAAAGGAAATGAATGTTTGAGCTGGGAGACCCATGAAGTCTAGACTCCAAGAGCTTTTATAAGCTCTCAGGACCTGTGTACCTTCTTCTGACCCTTCCGGACAAAAGCAACTGTGGGGACAGAAGTAGCCAAGTATGGCTGATTTCTGTCCAGTTTGGATCCAGAACCGAAGTGTGTCTGCTGTTCTGAGGCTTGTGTGAGTCACCTGCCTCATTCTGTCTGGTCATTAACCAAAGAGTTATGGCTTCTCTAGGTCTCAGTTTCTTTTACTGGCACGAGATCCCAGAGGAGTCTTTTGGCTCTAAAGTTACATGAGTCTATGATTCAGATGGAAGGCCCCGAGAGGGTATAGAAAGATGAAGAAAAAGAGTTCTATAAAAAACAAAAGGCTGGCTCCAGGACCCTGGCTGCTTTGGGGGAGAGAGGAGATGGGCAAGGGGTGATCCTATAGGCCCTCAGGCTCTCCAGGTATGTTAACTGTCTCATATTTTTCTTTATGAACCTCTTTCCCTCCAAGAAACCTGGCACATGAGAAGCATCGTTGCTCTAACCACAAACCTTTTCTTTCACTTGTTTTTCTAACTTACCACAGGACCCTATAAAGGTCTGCTTTTTCTCAGCAACCATGTCCTGGTGATGTTGGGAAGGTTTCTGGCAAAACCCAAGCCAACTACACAAGCCATCCACAATCTATGTACAACCTCTCTGTTATCTGAAGAAGTGGTTAGTTAGAAGGGGGTGGGGTTGAAGAAAAGTGGGCCCTCCTTCTCCCCTTCTTAGCAATGGTGAGAACCCAGGAAATCTGAAGTCCGCATTTGAGTCTGTGTACATAAGAAAGACTGTGGAAAGTGCAGCCATCTCTCTACCAGCTTCCTCCCTCATCCCTACTTCCCCTCCCACAATCCACCCACCAGCCAGAAGCCATGCTTCATCTACTTGGTTTGATATCATATTTTTGTGTTAATACATTCTGTTGATCTGCAATGTCAGATTGGATAAAGAAATTTAAATTGGGTCCCTTCAATTTCCAATGGCTAAACATTTGTGCATCTAACTCCGGGGCTGCCCTGTAACTTAAAGGCATTCTAGAGTGTCAATCACACAGCATGGCACCCCACACCGCAGAGGCTTTCTTTGGGAGATTTTTTTTTTTTTCTTTCGTGGTGAACGTTTGCCAAGGCGTTTGCCTAGGATGCAGACACCCTGCATCATTATAGCAAACCGGTTTATCTGTGAGCACAGCCCGACGGAGCAAATGCGTGGGCCACCCTCTTTTTCATTACTGGGCCCCCACTGCCAGGTCTTTAAAAACCACAAAAGGGATAAAGAGACCAAAACGCCAAATTAATGGACATTTTCAACATCAATAAATAAGAAAATAAGGATCACTCACTGTATTTCAGACTGATCACAGCAACGTCCAGATGGAAATCCAGGTGGTTAAGAACAAGAGAAAACGCATGATCTTGACACCAAAAAGAAAAAAAAGAAAAGAAAAGAAAAAGGACGTTGATGAAGAAAAACCCAGCTGCAATTATCCGTCAATTTTAGTCAACATAGGCTCAAATCCAACCATGCCCTGTCGGTTTCTCTCCCCCAATCAATGCCTCTTTCTGCCGCGGTCAACTTTTCTTCTCCGAAATTTCTTTGCAGATGTATTATTAATTTCCTCTCGTCTTGTGGGAAATACAAAAAGAAAAGCAAACACCACCATATCAGGTCTTCACTTTCCTAAAAAAGCTCCAAACTTTTCATTCCAAAAAAAAAAACTCCTTGGCTTACTTTCTCCTTTATGGAGAAAAATGAACACACTTTCTCTTTCTGGGTCATCGGTTCTCCATTTCCAATCATCCTTTTAGGGGGAGGGGGCAGCTGTTTTATTATTATTTATTTATGTCAGAACGCACCAACCCCCGCGGGTCTGACACTGGTTTATTTCATTTTTCAATGCTCCCTGTGTGCACATATACACATTTGTGTTAAGATCCAAGTCTCACAAGAAAAAGCTTCGTTCTTCCTTCTCTCTTGCACAGTTTATCCACTGCGTTCTGTTCCAGGAGAGAGCTGCGTCCCGCATCCTTCATTTTTGCAAGGCACCCAACCGCCACTGACACCAAAAGTCTCCTTTTACATCGTCGATTCTTCTCCCCAGCCCCCCGCTTCGAAGAATTTGGGGGTCAACTCCCCCAACTCGTCACCCTTCCGGCCGGTCCCTTCTCCAAAGATTTGATTAGATTTCTAATCATAACCCAGTGCGCAATTGGCTTTTTGATTTCAGCCACCGGCCAGCCACCTTCCCCTCTCCCTTCCAAACTCCCGGTTATATCCTGTCTCCTTCCCTCCACCGCCTCTGCAATTTCATAATCTCACGTTAAACGGAGTGCGGGGGGCGGGGGCGGAGGTAGTGGAGGAATATTTCAAGGCTTTGTCAGCTGTCAAAAAGAAGCCCATTCCTCCCCCCGCTACTTTTTTTTTTTTTTTTTAATACTCGGGGTGGCTTTCTCTTCCTCTGTCCCCGCCCCCACCCCCAGCACCCGCTCCAGATCTTCCAGGTGTTGCAGAACTCCGCGATCGGGGACGGGATCACGCGGGAGACGCGTGACGCGGTCCCTCGCCGGTGGCCCCTGCTAGCCCCCGGGTCCCCTTTTCCTCCATCTGCGGGCAGCGGATCCGGGGGCGATGCGGCGGAAGAACTTCAGACTGGGATTTTATTTAAAATGGGGAGGGGGAAGTGAGAGGTCCGAAGGGGTGTTAGGCAAATTAAAATAATGATAATAACAATGAAAGAAAAAAGGAAGAAATTAAAAAAAGAAAGAAAGAAAAAGAAAGGAAGGAGGGGGTCCCCTAATCGCTGGCTCCTCTCATCCTTCTGGAATGAAACTGCAGCTTTGATCTCATTTCCAGCTGCGTCGGGTACATTTTGGAGCCACAAGTTGGTTCCTCTTCGCGCAGCCCTTCCAGGCACCGGCGACGAGTCCTCGGCGATGAGACGCGTTCTCGGGAGCGCAGCTGCTCCGCGCCGTGTTTAGCGCCATCGCCCCGGCTCGCGGCTCCCAGCGCGGCAGAAACCCCAGTCCCCTTCCATCCACTTGGGCTTGAACTCTCGTCCTCCCCTTCCCGCTCCTCGCTCCTCTCCCTTTCCCCCAAATAAATAAACGCGCTCCTTTGCCGGCGGCCAGCCACTGCCAGTCTAGCTCTTCTCTCGGCCAATGCCACGTTCCGACGTTCAGGATCCTAGCGCCCCAAAGCTCCTCTCAGACTGCAGTCCCCTTCCCTCCTCGGCCCTCTGCCTTTCCCCTTTTCCTTTCCCTTTCTCTGCTTGTGATCAGTAAAATACAATTACCCAATTACCTCCCATCATCTTAGCACTGATTGGTCAATTGCATTAACACTTGAAGTCTGGGAAGAGGAGATTGGAGCCTCTACTGTGAGGCACAGCTGCCACCTGGAGGAGAGATCCCGAATAGCGGAGTTTCACAGCAACCCCCACGCTAGGAGGTTAGTAATAGGCAAAGAAACTCAGGGTCTGTGTGGGAGAAGTTGTCAAAAATCAATTTTTCCTAAAATTCTGCCTGCTTTCATCCTGAAAGCTAGGAGTTTGAGCTACAAAGGGGAATACATTGGAGTCAAATCACCAGTAAGATTCAAAAACATCAACCAACCCACAAAACTGCTGCTTTCAGATTACTGGGTAAGAGCCTCTCCCCTCCCTAGTCAAGCAGGCTGGTCACAAGGTAAGGATTAATACAATACCATTACCTAGGATAGGCTGATCAGAGAGAATCTAGGAGTAGCTGAAAAGCTACTGGGGAGGGAGCCTGTGGTGGAGCAGAATAATTTCACCAGGAGGAAGCGACTGGAAAGGAGTGATAGGAGTCTTCAGCCTATGCAGTGTTGCAATAAATTGGCCTGTTCAGTTTGTACAAGACATCCAGGACAGCTTGACAACTCAATTCCAATATCCCTCACTCCTGAATGTGGGTTTTTCCATCAACTTGTATTAGGGGATCAGGTGGCACATTTCCACATCACTGGGTCTCTTTAGAAAGAAAGAAAGACCCACAAATTAATGATATTAATAGTACAGTCATGTATTGCTTCGTGTCCACAATACATTCTGTGAAATAGGCCGTTATGTGATTTGGATGTTGTACGAAGAATTCCATACTATATAGGCAGTCCCTGGATTACACACTAGTTCCATTCCTAAGTCTAAGTCAAATTTGTACGTAAGTTGGAACAGTTAGGTATGGTTCGTATTTAACGTCAGTTACTCAAATGTTTGTCTTAGTGTATAGTATATAGTGTATCTTTCTATGCAGAAAAAATATTAAAAAACACTTTCAGATACAGTAAAACATCTTTGATACAATAATACAGTAAAAATAACATTTTGATGCTTGTCACAAAGTAGCACCTATTTGTTATTACCAACCATTGTATGTACCTCAAATTTTTACTATCATAGGCTTTACAGGGATTGGTTCGTAATTATGGGTTGTACATAAGTCAGACGGTTGTAACCTGGGGACCACAGATGTATATGGGGTCTGACATTGTCCAAACCGATGTTATGTGGCTCATGACTGTAATTTTTCCATCCTTTGGATGGCTTTGATGGAGTTTTGAATTGCATCAGAATGTGAATTTGTTGAGGGGTGATGACATTGTTTTTATTTTTAAATGTATACTGTATCAATCTATTTAACACTACTGGATGTTTAGCTATAACTTTAATCTGCCTTTTGAAGCTCTAACCCTGATATGCCAGTTACAGTTTATCAACTAATAAACCATTAAAAAGTACATTCAGTAGCCACTCTAGATACCTTCAAAGGAGCATGCCACCTGGTTCTGAAGCAAACTAGAAACTATTTGAAATGAAAAATTTCTTTTTAGGGACTTTGACAGCATGGGAAGGGCCAATGATTTGTTTTTCAAAGCTGATTATTAGCTATCTATCAGACATCTTTAAAGCCTTTCAGAATGAATTACTCTATCAAACAAAGCAGCAGGGAAGGATTGGTGCTATTTAGCCAAAAGAAAAAAAGAAAGGACTCCCCTTCCTGTTTGCCTTCCCATTCAGCAGTTACTATTTCTTTTCCTATATCAGCTACTCATTCACAATCTATGACCTGAATTAGTCATTTGACTTTCATTTTTAGCATCAGACTCAACCAGTGATAATTGAGCAGCCATATACTAAAGTCTTTTGTAATCTTTTCACATTGCCAGTTGACCTAGAGTCAATTCCAACTCATGGAGACCCTATGAGGTTCAGAGTAGAACTACACTCCAGAGGATTTTCAACGGCTGTGATCTTTTGAATTCAGTTAGTAGGTGTGTCTTGACTGTTTGTGCCACTCAGAGACTCCAGTAGACTTTTTGTATACATCACCTAATTCAATACTCCAATCTCTCCAGAGAGGTATGATTCCTTCAACTTAAAGAGAAAAAGTGAAGCTTAAAGTCACATGCCTGGTAAATGGCACAGCCAAGTTTTGAACTCAGATTTACTCAAGTCCTGCACTTCCAGTTTTGCTATAACTGCTAGATTTTGATAATGTAGGGGACACCCTCTAAGACAATCATGAACACGCAAGCTGTCATTATCGACACTGAATCCCAGAGATGAATTGGTGAACCTGTGGGAGAATGGAATTGCCACATTTGTTACTGAAATGACTTTGCTCAAAGAAAATTGAAATAAGTAGTAAACAAGCTCGAACTGGCATGTAAATACACATGCAAACTAAATTGTTGTTAATAACAATGTAAACAGAGACATCTACACAGTAGAGGTTGTCAGGTACTGTCAACAATGACAGGATATGTGTTCAAGTACAATTCTTTTTTAAATTTTAAATTTTTAAAGGAAGTAATTGCCCAGTGAGTAATGGATTGGCCCCATCATCACAGTCCCAATTAGCCCATTTATTTACCAAAAACAAGGACAGGAAAAAGTGCTGTTGTAGTAGGATGACTCAAGAGAAGACGGGCACAGCCCTCACATGGCAGGTTTGTTCTATGGACATACAGAATTCTACCTTTGTTTTCCTCTTCTGGTTTGTAGACATTTGGCTGTAAAAACGATCATGTTATTTCACTGTGTGCTGGAAACTCTTGCTGATATAAGCTTTAGCAGGCAGCAGGGGACAGCATCTTGTAATCAGAAATACAAAATAGCAAATAGAATGAATTCAGTAACTTTGCTTAAAAAAGAATGTAGATGTGTCTGTAATTTGTAATGTGTCTGTAATTAATTTGATTTAATAGGTTGTAAGGCTACTCTATTGAAACATAATGAACACTTAAGGTTTGCGTCTTTATGATGTTACACATTCTGGGAATAGATGTTCCCCTTTCACTGCCAATACTATTAAAAAGAAGCAGAATAATCTGTGGTGGTAATTGTATCGTTTGCCTCTAAAGTCACATAAAAGGACATGTGAATTAATTTTTAAACCAACTTAAAAAAAACTACTTTGATGATAAAATGCCATGTTTAGCAGGAACCTACTATGTGTGTTGTGCTGGGCAACATTCAAAGAATATTATATCTAGAAGATTTACTAACAATTATCTTAACACTTTGAAATGTAGATGAGAATCCTAAAGCCCAAAAACCAAAAAACCCAAACCTGTTGCTGTCAAGCCAATTCCAACTCATGTTGATGTTGTTGTTGTTAGGTGCCGTCGAGTCAGTTCTGACTCATAGCAACCGTATGTATACAACAGAACGAAACACTGCCCAGTCCTGCACCATCCTCACAATTGTTATGCTTGAGCCCATTGTTGTAGCCACGATGTCAGTACATCTCATTGAAGGTCTTCCTCTTTTTCACTGACCCTGTACTTTACCAAGCATGATGTCCTTCTCCAGAGACTGATCTCTCCTGACAACTTGTTCAAAGTATGTAAGATGTAGTCTTGTAATCCTTGCTTCTAAGAAGCGTTCTGGTTGTACTTCTTCCAAGACAGACCTGTTTGTTCCTTTAGCAGTCCATGGTGTATTCACTATACTTCGCCAACACCACAATTCAAAGGCATCAGTTCTTCTTCCGTCTCCCTTATTCAATGTCCAGCTTTCACATGCATATGAAGCCATTGAAAATACCATGGCTTGGGGCAGGTGCACCTTAGTTCTCAAGGTGACATCTCTGCTTTTCAACACTTTAAAGAGGTCTCTTGCAGTGGACTTGCCCAATGCAATGTGTCTTTTGATTTCCTGACTGCTGCTTCCATGGGTGTTGATTGTGGATCCAAATAAAATGAAATCCTTAACAACTTCAATCTTTTCTCTGTGTATCATGATGTTGCTTATTGGTCCAGTTATGAGTGTTTTTGTTTTATTTATGTTGAGGTGCAGTCCATCAATCTGAAGGCTGTAGTCTTTGATCTTCATCAGTAAGTGCTTCAAGTCCTCTTCATTTTCAGCAAGCAAGGTTATGTCATCTGCATAATGCAGGTTGTTAATGAGTCTTCCTCCAATCCAGATGCCCTGTTTTTCTTCATATAGTCCAGCTTCTCAGATTATTTGCTCAGCATACAGATTTAATAGGTATGGTGAAAGGATACAACCCTTACTCACACCTTTTCTGACTTTAAACCACACAGTATCCCCTTGTTATCCCAGAACAACTGCCTCCTGATCTACGTACAGGTTTCTCATGAGCACAATTAAGTGTTCTGGAATTCCCATTCTTCACAATGTTATCCATAATTTGTTATGATCCACACAGTCAAATGCCTTTGCCTAGTCCATAAAACGCAGGTAAACATCTTTCTGGTATTCTCGGCTTTCAGCCATGATCCATCTGACATCAGCAATGATATTCCTGGTTCCATGTCCTCTTCTGAATGCAGCCTGAATTTCTGGCAGTTCCCTCTTGATATATTGCTGCAACTGCTTTTGAATGATCTTCAGCAAAATTTTACTTGCATATGATATGAATGAGATGGTTTGATAATTTCTGCACTCAGTTGAATCACCTCTCTTGGGAATAGGCATAAATATGGATCTCTTCCAGTTGGTTTGCCAGGTAGCTGTCTTCCAGATTTCTTGACATAGATGAGTGAGCACTTCCAGCGCTGCATCTGTTTGTTGAAACATCTCAATTGATATTCCATCAATTCCTGGAGCCTTGTTTTTTGCCAATGCCTTCAGTGCAGCTTGGACTTCTTCCTTCAGTACCATTGGTTCCTGATCATGTGCTACCTCCTGAAATGGCTGAATGTCAACCAGTTCTTTTTGGTATAATGACTCTGTGTACTCCTTCCATCTTCTTTTGAT